CGGCCTCTCCTCCCCCCTGGGCCACTCTGCCTTCCCCCTCCCCGCTCTCCTCCACCCAGAGCCACTCTGCCCCCCCCAGCCGGGTCCTGCACCCAGCCCAGGGTGTCCACGCTCTGCTTCCTGTGGATGACAAAAGCACCTTTATTCAGGCAAGAGCAGCACTGTGAAAACGATACAACTCGCCCCCAAGAGCTCCCTCCCGTCCCTGGCTCCCCAGGCCAGAGAGCTCCCACAGAGCAGGCGAGAGTCCCACATCCCTGCCACCACCTGAGATCCCTGCTCAAAGCCATCTACACTGTAAACACCAAGCACTGTGACCATTTTATAGGAAAGGGAAACGGGGCCCAGCAAGGCAGGGAGCTGGGCCAAGAATGGAACCCAGGAACCCGAAGGTCTGGCCCAGCCTGCGCGTACCATTGTGGCCCCATGGGAAGTCTGGCAGTGAATCCTCTTGCTCCAGGCCCTGGGGTCAGTGCACATGTCAGGACCCGGCTGGGGCGGGAGAAGGGGAATGCAGGGGGTGGATGAGTGGTGGGAGGGATGGGGAAGGGTTAGATAATGATACAAGGATTCTGGAGGTCTCAGCCCCTCTCTGTTCAGAGTCCTGGGCTCTATGGAGCGAAACCCTCCGACCCACCCCCTCGGACAAGCAGCCACATGGCAACTTTCCCTTTCAAAAGAAGTCCCCCGTCCCAGGGCTGCCCCTCCAAGCTCAGACCTGTGCCATGCAGGCAGCAGACCCAGCAGGCCAGCCCACCCCTCAAACCCTGCTCTCCCAGTGCTACCATTAATGTAGACACCAGCTGCTCTGCGCCCAACACAGTGGCTGGATCCACACTGGGCGTCACTCTCCACATTGTTGCAACAGCTGGTGTAGATGGCAGCTGGCCCCACTGGGCCCCCCACGCTACGCGGGTTGAGTTTACATTGGACTTGCTCCCACGTTCCTACTCACATGCCACAGGGCAGACCCCCTTTGTTAATGGGCATCCTGCTGCACTGGATCCTGGGCTGGCACCACCCCACAGCTGATAGCCTGGGGCTGTGGCGGCACCAGGGGACGGGTGGCACTGGCAGAAAGACAAAATGACACAGTAGCAAGATGGCTACCCCAGCTGGTAGCAGCAGTAGGTTGTTCTCTATATGGAGCAGCCCTAAGGCCTGATGCCACCCCACAAGAGGACCCCAGTGAGGGGTTTCAATTAGTCTCTGGCACAGAGGGCTGACCCCACACACACAGGGCTGCCCTAAATCCTTTTCCAGGGTCCCCCCCATCCTCCGGCCTGGGTGCTGCTGGCTTCCCAGCAGGCTGAACCCGCCCAGCGCAGTAGGTTGTTCTCTATATGGAGCAGCCCTAAGGCCTGATGCCACCCCACAAGAGGACCCCAGTGAGGGGTTTCAATTAGTCTCTGGCACAGAGGGCTGACCCCACACACACAGGGCTGCCCTAAATCCTTTTCCAGGGTCCCCCCCATCCTCCGGCCTGGGTGCTGCTGGCTTCCCAGCAGGCTGAACCCGCCCAGCAGCCCGGGTGCAGCTGCCCGGGAGGGGCGGGATAGCAGCGCGTTTCCGAGAAGGCCCCGATGCTGATGCCGGGGCTGAGGCAGGCCGCAGGGGCATGGGCAAAAGGAAAGGAAGAGGAAGGGGTACAAGGTTGCTCCTGTCCCCATCCCCCCTCTCCTCCATTGAAAGAGGGAGAAGAAATCCTCCTCGGTCAACCAATCAGAGCTCATAGTCTTTTGCTCCACCAATCACAAGCCGCTGAGCTGCTCTGGTCCACCAATCGGGTTGCTTCGTTCTTCCTTCCCCTGATTGGTTCCTGTGGCTCTGGGTGCCAAGCCACCAGCATCCACCTCTTCACCACTCAAAGATGCCTTCTTCTGACCGACCAATGGGAGCTCTTCCCTCTCTCCCAGCTCCACCAATCAGGCCTCCCGCCCGCCCCCGTGGGGGGCACATGCCACGTGGAGCCAGGCCCACTCACAGTATAAGGGGGAGGGGTCCACAGATGCTCTCCTCCGCCCTCTCACGCCTCCCCCCTAGTCCACGCCCCAGGGGGCTACTCAGTGCAGACGGGCAGGTACCCATTGACCAGGCACTGGGGCTGGGCCG